GTTAAGAAGGTTGTTGTCAGTGAGGTAGGAGCTGAGGTGATTGTAGACTAAGAGTTTTAAGAGTTTAGAGGTAAGCAGGAGCAGGGAGATTGGTCTTAAGTTGTTCAGTTTGGTGGTGTCCAGCAAGGGCTTTTTAAGTATGGAAGTGATCTATGCATACCTTAGAGGGGTGGGGAAGGCACCATTAGAGGGAGATACTGAAGATGTGAGTGAGCATAGGACAGAAGAAGAGGCGACCGTAGTAGTTGAGAGGGGATAGGATCCAGGGGGGCACGTGGTGAGATGGGATTTGGAGAAAACTTTAGTGACCTCTTCAGTAGTAGCAAGGTCAAAAGAGGAAAGTGTTGAGGGAGGTTTAGTATAAGGTATGCTAAGCGGGATAGATGTCTGTGTAGTGGAGATGCCACTACGAATTGCATCAATCTTGTTTTTGAAATGATTTGCAATCTCGTAAGCAGTGAGTGAGTTAATAGGTGGAGGTGGAAAAAGCAGAGAGTTAAAAGTAGAGAGACAAGGAGGACTGGGTGACAAGGTGTTAATAAGAGTGACAAAGTAGGTTTGCTTGGCAGCATGGAGGGCGGAGTTGTATGTATGCTAAGTGGGATAGATGTCTGTGTAGTGGAGATGCCACTACGAATTTCATCAATCTTGTTTTTGAAATGATTTTGCAATCTCATAAGCAGTGAGTGAGTTAATGGGTGGAGGTGGAGAAAGTAGAGAGTTAAAAGCAGAGAGACAATGAGGACTGGGTGACAAGGTGTTAATAAGAGTGACAAAGTAGGCTTGCTTGGCAGCATGGAGGGAGAAATTGTATGTTAAGAAAGCAGATTTATGTTTATGCTTGTTGAGATTTGGTTTTACGCCACAATCGCTCCAGCGCACGACTTTGTCTCTTAAGATTTTTGGTATCGTCAGTCTGCCACGGTTGTAATGGTCAGGGCCTGATACTTCGTGTAGTTAGGGGAGCAAGTGACTCTAGTGTGGAGCAAAGCGAACTGTTATAGACAGCAGTGGCCAGGTCAGGGCAGGATGTGGGAGAGATTATGTCATATATTGCGGAATATTTAGTATGTGTAAATTTGTAAATTTATTAAATACCTTCTTCAGCTCTGTGTATACAAAGTAGCATATGGGAAGCTCTTGTCCATAAGGGGCATGGTATTGACAGAGCTCCAGATGATCCACATTGGCTCACAACTGATATGATCCAGAAATAGATTTTAGACAGAATAAAGGTAAATAAAGCACCTGGACCAGATGGCATATACCCACAGGTCCTTAAAGTATTGAGCTTTGTCATTTCATTGTTTCTAGTTTTTAGGCGACGACCTTAAATGACAGGCATAAGCCATTGTTTCTAGTTTTTTAGGGACTCTTTAATGACTGGCATAGTACCACTGCATTGGCGTAAGGCCAATGTGGTGCCTATATTTAAAAAGGGGTCAAAATCATTACCAAATAATTATAGACCTGTTAGTTTAACTTCTATAGGTGGGAAGATACTGGAGAGTTTATTAAAAGACCACATAGATGAGTTCTTGCTGGAAAAAAAATATTTTAAGCAACAGACAGCATGGATTCATGAAAGACAGAAGTTGTCAAACAAATCTGATTTCTTTTTATGAGGTGATCAAAACCTTGGACAGAGGGGTGGCGGTGGGCGTGATACTTGGATTTTGAAAAAGTGTTTGACACAGTTCCCACAAACGGCTAATGTGTAGGGTAAAGTCTACGGGCTTGGAAAAATCTGTATGTAAAAGGATAGAAAACTTTATACAAAATCAGATTCAGAGAGTAGTGGTTAATGATTCACACTCTGCACGGTCTAGGGTTGTCAGTGGTGTACCCCAGGGTTCAGTGTTGGGCCCTTACTTTTTAATATATTTATAAACAATATAGAGTCTGGGATTTAAAACACCATTTCAGTCTTTGCAGATGACACCAAGCTGTGCAGTGGAATAATGTCCTTACATGATGTCTCCAATTTACAAGCCAACCTCAATGCACTGTTTAATTGGGCAACTATGTGGCAAATGAGGTTTAATGTAGATAAATGTAAGGTTATGCACTTGGGGGCTAAGAATATGCATGCATCATACATACTAGGGGGGATACAACTGGGGGAATCAATGGTGGAGAAGGATCTGGGAGTTCTGGTAGATCACAAGCTTAATAATGGCATGCAATGCCAAGCTGCGGTTTCTAAAGCGAGCAAAATCCTCTCTTGTATTAAAAGAGGTATAGACTCCAGAAAGAGAGATATCATTTTACACCATGTACAAATCATTAGTAAGACCTCACCTGGAATCTACAGTTCAATTTTGGGCACCAATTTACAAAAAGAGCATTGGGGAACTGCAGAAATACAGAGAAGGACAACCAAACTGATAAGAGCCATGGAGGAGCTCAGCTGTGAGGAAAAGATTAAAGGAACTGAATTTATTCTCTCTTGGGAAGAGGAGATCAGTGGTTCTGTTATACTTTGTCTGCTGAGAGATGAGGCCTTTGTTGCTGGATGCACCAACTCTTTATTGCTGCACTCTTACTTTATAATCAGGTTATTTAGTATCATCACAGGAATACAGCAGTGTATATCCTCGTCCATTACTGTCTATACACACTCTCACTGACTACCCAAGATGGCTGCAGTACCTTTTGACTTGTGTGTCATTCCGGGGCAGAGCCACTAGTTAAGGTGACATAGCATGTAACACATTCAGCTATAACAGGTTCATTTAGTGAACTCAGTGTAGATTTATTCACCTTGAGGTCATCACAGAGGACAAGGGGGCACTCTTTACGTCTGGAGGAAAATAAATTTAATCTCCAAATACGGAAAGGTTTCTTCACAGTAAGAGCTCTGAAAATGTGGAAAAGACTCCCCTCAAGAGTTGGTTCTGGCCAGCTCAGTGGATTGCTTTAAAAAAGGCCTGGATTATTTATTAGATACACAGAATATAACTGGTTACTAACATTTATAGGTAAATTTGATCCAGGGAATATCTGATTGCCTCTCGGGATCAGGAAGGAATTCTTTCCCCTGCAGGAGCAAATTGGATCATGCTTTCCTGGGTTTTTTGCCTTCCACTGAATCAACTGTGGGTATAGGATAACTTTTTTTTTTTCTATTATGGTTGAACAGGATGAACTTTCGTCTTTTTTCAGCCAGACAAACTATGTAACTATGTGGAAATTAACTTCATACAACTGATTACGGTTTTATTCAATTGTATTTAATAGCCTTGTATATTTTATATGTCCCAATTGTGTTGTTACTGCCTCTGGAAAAGTGCCTTTAAGGTCCCCTTTTGTTGGAACCAGATGGTTGCTGTGTGTGTGATATGTGTTTCTATTAGTTAATTTTTGAAATGTGGCACTGTCCCCAAAAATATGGCTGATAGTATATTGTGGAGGCCTGCAAGCTTTTCTGAAAAATTTCAAAGTGAAATTAGAGGGACATTCTGAAGGCAAGCGTATCAGCATACAATTTACAAAAAAATTTTCAAAGTCCTGAGATTTTTTTACTCTACGTTAGGATAGTGTGCATCTGATTTACAACTGATGAGATCTTCTGGTATGGTACAAACAGGGCTAGTTGCTAAACCCACAACCCAAACAGTAAAATCAAGACAGAGGGTCAGGGGTTATGAAACCCATATGAGAATGAAAACTCCTCCTACAAGCTTTAAGCAGTGCTCAGCTGGACACTTATAGAAGTCACAAGATTCCTATATACTGCTGATGAGAAAAGGTATTTAGCACTTTGTATTTGCTAAAATAATTGAATTTCCATGTTCCATGTACTGTGGAAGACCAGATATAGTGAATGCAGGGTCATCTGTTTAGTAACACTTTAATTATGTTAAACATTATGGTAAACTCCACATCCCCCCTCCTAACACTACATTGAAGGGGAAAAGTAGGTAGCATTTTAGTAATTTCTATGCAATATAAAGTATGCAATGTGAATGATACCTTGTACCAAACAAAGTAGGTATGATCCGAATTTGGCTGCTAAAGTGGAATGTTTGCAAATATTTGGAATGTATGGCTCCCATGGAGAATAACTTATTAACCTTCTGAATGATTATTGAGAGTGATTTGGAATATAATAGCAGGTTACTCATGAACTGCTTACACTGGAGTTGTACACTGTACACAGTGGCTAAATGGTTAGCACTTCTGCCTGGCAGCACTTGGGTCGCTGGTTCGAATCCCAACCACGGCACCACCTGCCTGGAGTTTGCGTGTTCTCCCTGTGCCTGCGTGGGTTTCCTCCGGGAACTCTGGTTTCCTCCCACACTCCAAAAACATGCAGTTAGGTTAATTGGCTCCTGTCTAAATTGTCCCTAGTATGTGTATGTATGTAAGTTAGGGACCTTAGATTGTACGCCCCTTGAGGGATAGGGACTGAGGTGAATGTACAATATATATGTAAAGCGCACGCGTAAATTGACAGCACTATACAAGTACCTGAAATAAATAAATAATAATCTGTTTTCTTAGGTTTGTATCATAAACAAATTATCTTACAAAAAAACCCCCATGCAATCTATTGTGAAAACTATGGGGGGGTTAACCAAAACTGGTGAACTCAGAATCTGATGCAGTTGTGCTTAGTAACCAATCAGCTTCTAACTTCAGCTTGTTCAATTAAGCTTTGACAATAAAACCTAAAAGCTGATTGGTTACTGTGCATGGGTGCGTTAGTTTCTTTGCGCTCAGTTTTAGTAAATCTCCTCCTTATGTGTCATGTTTAATTACTTAACAGGCTCCAGTGTGTGCTTGCACTTCAAAAATCATTTGTGCAATTAGTAAATGATGGATGCTGCTATGTGTCAGAATCAAGATATGACTTTATTTTTCCAGTACACAATCTAGTGTGTCCCTGCTTTTCTCCATGCTTTCAGTCTACAGATGCCTTTGCACTAAAGGGTACATCAGTTATCTCTATGTATTTCTTAAGGCATTTGTATAGATTGTCTTTGTTTTAAACTTACATTCCAACAAATCAGCCAAGGTCTTGGTCCGGAGAGCCACGGGTCTCTTTGTTTTATCATTTGTGATGGCAAACTCCTGCATACCTAGCTCCTCTGCTACTTTAGCCTGTGTCCTGTTGTTCACCAGTGAACTACGCAGCAGCTGCAAAATGCACAGAGAACAAGATAATGAGGGGACATAAAAATAGCAACACAATCCAAAATCCTGACATCTTAAAAAAATGAGACCACTTAAGATCAGCTTTTAGTGTTCTTTAGAGTAGGTATGTGTCTTCATAACTCACGCAAAATCTCCATTCCAAGCCAAAACAAAACAAAGCAACTAACAAGCCTATCATGGGATTTTAAAGTATTAGCATATTCCCTAATTTATGTACGCTTTTCTGGCTTAAATTTCTGCATTGCTGACTGACTCATAATTTTGTTGAAAAGTTTCCTTAAGCAAAGATCTCTCATTATTTCTAAAGCCATTCTCTTTATTAAATCTGTTCTTCTCCAACTGTCACTCTTTAGGTATTTTAGACAGATTAGGGCACCCAATGTTACATGAAAGATAAATGCTCATTGTGAATAATAAAGAACTTTCTTTTACAGATCTTAGCAATGTCAGTCATGTCTGACAAGCAGCGGTAATTATAGTTCAGAACAATATTCACTCCCGACCTTCAATACCTAGATGTTTTCATTATTTTATATATATATATATATAAAATATACACACACGTGTGTGAGTGTGTGCATATAAAGTACACAAAATCTCAATCATAAATGATTTGGAGCATACAGAACTACAGCCATGGCGAAATGACGAGAAAGTAGAACAAACGTGCCACTGCTTAGAAGAATGTGCATGCATTTGTGTTTAAATACTTAACAAAAAGGTACACTACATTGCTAATCTTCAGGCAAATTGCTCCAATAACTTCTTAAAGGAGGTTCTTTACTCTCAGAAGCACAGAGAGTCACCCATTTTGCCCAGCTGGGGTCTTTTAACTTTCAGAACCACGGCAAGACACTGGCTCCCTGTTGCAGCCACTCAAAGGGGTCCTCACGTTGTATCCCCTCTATTATGATTCTTCTACTCTGCCTAGAAGCATCTGATACTTGTTGATTTCATAATTGAAGTGTATTTAAAAGGCAACATTTTTATTTTGTGACAGATTAGGGAAGATTAAGACCCTCTCTCAAGTTCATATTGTGTTTGGTGGTCCCACCAGGATTCACCCTCTACTTGTCCTGGTAAGCATTTTCACTAAGTTCCCTAAAAGTATCCAATAAGTAAATAAAACCCCATCTGCAAATCTTGAAAAGAAATTAATTGCAATTAGTGAAATCAGTGTCAAACGTGTTGGGGAAGAGGCACTGCCTGGCTAGGTAGATTCTGAAGAAATGTTGACAAGAAGGAAGAAGGGACCTGATCGACAACTACACGAATTCTTTACAACCATTGTACAGGAAACGTCCTAACATCTAGAAATCTAAAATTACGCACTTGTTTTCCTGACCACACAGTGCTGACATTTGTATCAAACCTATAAACATGTGTGTTCCGTGTATTTCAGATAAATAGGGGAATATAATTTATCAAAACTATTTGGAAAAGTATTAATTTTAGAAAATGTTATATATAAACCCCTTCATGCCTAAGGGTAAAGCAAATCTTAACGCCTAAGCACAATTTTGCAACTTTGACATGTGTTGGTAAAACCGTACATATCATCACAACTACTGTGTACACCCAGGTGGATTATAACTTGTTCTGTTTCAGGACAAATTGAGCTTTCATTTGGTGGTAAATGGTAATGGATATCTCCTGATTATTTTTTTATTAAGAAAGAAAAACTGGTCCAAAATAGTAAAAAAGAAATATATTTTTTTTTAAATTTAGCTGTGTGTTTCTTGTTTCTTGTTACTGCCATAACCTACTACCAAAGAACAACCCAAAATATATTTTCCAGCTCTTGATGACCGCAGTGATACCATATATGTGTATGTTATTTGTTGTTTGTACCCACAGTACAGCCCAAAAACAAACAGGGCGCATTTTGGGTTTTGTTTACCCTAAAACACTGACACCAATTTAACCACTTGCCCTCTAGAGGATTTACACCCCTAATGACCAGACCTATTTTTGCTACTCGGCCCTGCACTAATTCAACTGATAATTGTGCGGTCATAACAATGCTGTACCCAAATGAAATTTACGTCCTTTTTTTCACACAAATAGAGCTTTCTTTCGGTGGTATTTGATCACCTGTGCGCTTTTTATTTTTCACGCTATAAACAAAAAAAGACTGAAAAGTTTTTAAGAAAAACTATATTTTTTACATTTGGTTATAAAAAATATATAGTGACCTCAATGTTAATTATAAATTTAGGCCAAAATGTATTCTGCTACATATTTTTGGTTAAAAATAATCCCAATAATTGTATATTGATTGCTTTGTGTGAAAGTTATAGCGTCTACAAACTATGGTATAGATACTGCAATTTACGCCATTTTTTTTGCTATACAGCGGTCATAGTTTAACTGACACGGTATGAGTCATACGGTACATAAATTAAATTTGTGTCCTTTTTTTCACACAAATATAGCTTTCTTTTGGTGGTATTTGATAACCTGAACGCTTTTTATATTTGGCTCTATAAAGAAAAATTTTTGAGAAAAAACACATAAAAAAAAAAACCCCAAAACAAAACAATATTTTCTCATTTTTACCATACAAAATATCCAAAAAAACTACCATTTCGTAATAAATTTAGGCCAAAATGTATTCTGCTACATGTTTTTGGTTAAAAAAATCCCAACAAGTATATGTTGATTGCTTTGTGTGAAAGTTATAGCATCTACAAACTATGGTATAGATAATGGAATTTACACAGCTTTTACTTTCTGGCTGCATATCTTTCTTGAGGTGCTAAAATACCAGAATAGTACAAACACCCCCAAATGACCCCTTTTTTTCGAAAGTAGACACCCTAAGCTATCTGCTGAGAGGCATATTAAGTCATGGAAGATTTATTTTTTTTCCAAAAGTTTCTGGAAAATGACAAAAATTTTTTGTTTTGTTTTTTACACAAAGTTTTTAAATGATATATTTGTCACACAAGCCATGGGTATATGTGGAATTACATTCCAAAATACATTCTGCTACTTCTACTGAGTATGGGGATACCACATGTGTGAGACTTTTTGGGAGCCTAGCCACATACAGGAGCCTGAAATCCAATGACCATTTTGAAAGCCTGAAGGTGCGTAACTTCCTTATTTCACTTCCTCACTACCTATCACAGTTTTGGAGGCCCTGAAATGCCAGGATAGCACCAACCCCCCCCCCCCCCCCCCCCCCAAATGACCACTTTTTCGAAAGTAGACACCCCAAGGAATTTAAAAAGAGGCATAGTGAGTATTTTGCAGAACTCATTTTTTCTCACAAGGTTTCTTCATTTTCCCAAAAACTTGTGGCAACAAACGAGATCTGCAAAATACTCACCATGCTTCTTATCAAATTCCTTGGGGTGTTTACTTTCCAAAAAGTGGTCATTTGGGGGGGGGGGGGGGGGGTTGGTGCTATCCTGGCATTTCAGGGCCTCCGACACTGTGATAGGTAGTCAGGAAGTGTAATGAGGAAATAAAGCCCTTTAAAAGCCTGAATGTGCTTATTGGATTTTGGGGTCCTGTACTTGGCTAGACTGCCAAAACGTCTCTCACATGTGGTACCCCCATACTCGGGAGAAGTAGCAGAATGTATTTTGGGGGAGTAATTTCACATATACCCATGGCATGTGATATAACCATGGCATGTGTGAGTAATAAATAATTTAAGTGACAATTTTGTGTAAAAAACAAAAACATTTTTTTTTTGTCATATTCCAAAACTTGTAAAAAATAAATTCCTCTATTGATTTAACATGCCCCTCAGCAAATAGTTTGGGATGTCTACTTTCCCAAAAAAAAAGTCATTTTGGGGGGTGGGGCCATTTTATGCCCAGCATTAGAAGTTTATGCCACACATCACTCACTCTTCAAACCACGTCAAGACCAAGCATTTTCTGACACTTTTTGTTCACATGAAAAAAGTCAGTATTTTTTGCTAGGAAACTAATTCAAACCCCCAAACATTATATATTTTTTTAAAGCAAACACCCTAGTGAATAAAATGGTGGATGCTGCAATTTTTTATGTCAAATAGTATTCACACTACGATTTTTCAAACGCAATCTAAAAAAAACACAAACACTTTTTTAATTTTTAATGCACAAAAACACAATATATTGGCCAATTATTTGGTTTACAACTGTGCATGCCCTGTGCAATGGCGACAAACTGCATAGCTTTTTAATATCCAATCCTGCAGCTAATTAACCACTAGGATTGCTTTTACATGAAAGCCAATCGCCGGCTGAAAAAAAGTTATACCAGGATGATGCCTGCAGCTAAAGGCATCATCCTGGTATAACCATTCAAAGTCCAGTGATGTACCAGTACGTCGCTGGTCCTTGTTGGGTATATATGCTATGTTCTTTTTTTTTTTTTTTTTTTGCGTATGCAGCCTGTGGGCTGAATGAAGAAAAAAAAAAGAAGAAATCTCTGCCAGAAAAAGTGTGTGGTATGCCCACCATTAGAATATACCGCCCTGCATCCACCCACTTCTAATGGTGGCCACACATTAGGTCGCACGGTGCCAGTTCCAAGATTGTACAAATGTCTAAATAGTGGCATGCTTGAATAAAAATTGTCCACGTATAAGTGGTACCCCATATGGAAAAAGGATGACACAAAGTCCCAAACTATCTTGCCACTGCTCCCCATGTAGTCTGGGCATCCGGGGGGGGCTCCACGTGACTGTCTGTTCCCTCGTAATTCCGAAACTATAGCCTGTTGCCCTCTCACAGGTCTTCTACATATTGACCCCATATCTGGCACGCTTGCTGGGGAGAAATTGTTAGAATGCAAAGCGGCCAAAAAAATTAATGAGGGACTCATCAAGGCAGACACATCTGCAAATGTTTGGTTAAGGTTATTTACGAGGGGCTGCATTTTGTGGAGCCGGTCAAATTCAGGGTCACCTCGAGGACGACAGAGTGTGTTGTTGTTGAAATGCATAAAACACATTATACTCTCATATCTATGCCTGGCCA